AGACCTAAAGCTCAAAATATAAGTGGAACAAAATATATTGTTGCAATAAGTTATATAGCTCAGGGTTTTGTAAGAAATAAAGCTAGAATAGTTGTCCGAGGGTGCGGGTGCGCATAAGTAAAGAATATAGATATTGAAGAATATTTAGATGCATATTATGATTAAAGACACTTAGGTTAATCTTAGCATATATGCATGCTATAAGGATTCGATTCCCTTTCGAATGGATATTAAAGGTGCATACTTAAATGGATTCATTGATCATGCTATTTTATTGAGCAAACCATATCTTTTAGTAAGGAATTTAATTCAATACATAGAGGCCAACATATTGAAGTTATCTATCATGTTATTGAAGATTATATATCTAAATGAAATGTAAACATTGAATTCATTAAAGTAGGTTTTCAATTTGCTGGTATTTTCTTAAAAATCTTAAATATAAATAAATTATGAACTTGGAAGAAAATGGGGAATAGTAAATCCTCATCTATAACTAATTGTAAATTGATTTATTTAGTTATGATATTAAATTATTTTATATTTAGCATCACTTATGATGCTGTCAAAAAAAGCAGAGAAGAATATATTTGCTAATTTTGATTGCATACAATTTGGGAAAAAATCTTAATAAAATCTTATCGTATTTTGAGATTCTCACAATAATTTATGATATTTTTTTAAATGTTGTGAGAGATGTCATTTAGTACATCCAATCCAATCACTTTCAAACAAAGATTTGTCATTATTAAAAGAAAAAAGAGAATGTTGATAGCAAGAGCCCATATTATGTATGAACTTATTTTGAAGATAAAAAACATATGGCCGGAGGTTCTAATTATTTCTAATAAGTGATTTCAAGATTAAGTGATTGCAAAATTTTTCGATCATAAAGAAACATGCCAAATTGTATGATCAAGATAGTTAAAACATGATTGAGAATTTTGAAGATATTATTAAAATAATATAAAAGAAGCCTGAGAAAATTTTTTAAGAGAACATAAAGTTATTAAGTTTATAAATGTCAAATTATTACACAAGTTTAAAATTTTAAAAAATAAAAAATACTATTAAAAAATTATTTTATCATAAATTTAAGAAAATTTGCATTACATTTTATCAAATTATTATCATAATGCTTAAAAGGTATTAATTTAAAAGTACTAAATTTCTATTTTAAAAACATTATTCAGTACTTAATATTTTAAATTTCACTAAAATTCTTTTGATATATTTTCGTCATACATAGGCTTCTATATAGATTACTTTAAATTTATAAATTTATTTAATATTTTTAAACATTATACTAAAATTATTTTCTTTACAAAAACAATTTTATAATCATGAGCTTCAATTTTTTTATTTCATATAATTTATTGAATTTTTAAGTGAAGTTGGAAAAGTTATACAATATTCTTTTAGTAAAACAAAATTTATTATGATTTTGCAAACATTATATATTTTTATCAGTAGTTGGATATCCGTCAAGGTTTAATTTGATGAGATTTGACTAGCCTTGGAAGCCTATTTAACTAGTTATCTTATAATTGTTTAAAAGAGTAATTAATGGAGATATTTTTATATTTTTTTTGACGTTGTTTGATAACCGATAAATATAAGATATTTTGATGCTTTACTTATGGAATAAAAAATTTATAAAAACCTTCTTCCGTGTTAATTTATTTTTCAAGTAACATATTTTCAAAAAGTAAATTTTAAAGTATGATCTAAATCTTTTCAAAAGCTTATGCTTATACAAAACTACCTTATTTTGTAGAAGCTTTAAAGTTGTTCAAGCCATTGTCAAGTATGTAAGATTGCTATTAAAAGTTTTTAATTTTCCTTACTTTTTTTTTTTGTTGAATTCATGTAGTTGGCTTTTAGAAATTTTCACTTGATTGTTCTTATTAATTCTTACAAAAAAAGAAGTGTATGTTTGCTATAATAATTTTGTAAATTAAATTTGTGAGTTGTTCATGTGCTTTAAAAAACATTCATAAGGGCATTTTACTCTAAGAAGAACCGAATCTTAGAATGGTAAGATAGTGTTAGTAAAATCTAAATGATGGAGGTCTAAGTGAGGATGTAAGCATATTTTGTTAGTTTTTACTTTCTTCTTATAATTATTAATCTATTATTTTCTTAAATTTCATTTTTCAATCATATGCTGATTTAAATAAGATTTTTTTTTTTTTTGCTTTCTGGCACACACCGAATCATCTTCACTTGGTTGTGCCATACACTTCACTTACCAACCCACTAAAGGTTCTCTTACTAAGAAATTGCCAAAAAACTCATCTAGTTCACCTAATTACAAATTATCTTGTCGCCTAACCTAAGGCTATAAAAAAGGCTTGTTGTTCTCGAACAGCTTGTCTTCGACTTGTTAAGAAGCTCATGTTTGGCTCGTTCGCTAAGTTAACAAACCGGACACGAATGAACAAAACAAATATTTGTTCGTTTGTGTTTGACTCATTTTGGCTCAAAATACTATTAATCAATTATACATATAATTTTGATGATTAGTAGTCTTAAAAAATCTAACTGACTACAATGTTATAAAGATTTATAATCAATTAAAAGTATTAATTAAGAAACTAGAATAAAAAATATTAATTTAGATTCAAATGATAATTTAAATCTTGCCACAATCTTTAACATCTTATGACTACATGATTAGGGTTGTCAAAACGACTCTTTGTCCGTGAACGGCTCGTATTCAGCTCGCTGTTCGGCTCGCTAAGCAAACGAGCCAAACACGAACACACTTTTTGAGCTCGAAATATAAACAAGCCGAACACGAGCTAAGCTTAGGCTCGCTCGTGTCCGGCTCGTTTACACCCCTAGCCTAACCTACTAAATAGCTAGCTATGGTAGGATTAATCTATTTACTTTTTATTTAAAAGAGCCATCTTGGGAATCATAAAATGTTGACCTTAGTCTGCTTATACAAATAGGGATTCTTTGGTCAAGATTTTGTACAAGCAATTCTCAGAAAGTGTCAATGAATTCTTTATAAAAAAACACACAACATTTTTTATTTACAACACAATGTCTTGCCTTATTTAGTCCAAAAGAGAACATATTTGGTCCTATGTAAATCAATTCCTTTCGAAACTTAATGACATTTATTTTTATTCTTTTTCTTCTTTCTTCTTGCATCTTGGATTTGATTTATTTATCTGAGTTCTCAATATTATTCCATAGATAACTATGAATCCAATAACCTTTTTGTTGCAATAATTACGCATATAATAAAGACCACAAATATAAACATAAATTGTCCTCAACTAAATGATTATGCTTCAAAAAAAATCACAACGCATATGGGATTACTACAAAAAATGATGATTCACGAGATATTTCAATGCCTTCCAACATGATTCCCCTCCTCCGCAGTATAAGCATAAATTTTTCCATCATAAAACCGCTCCATTTTGAGGGTTCACTCATATCCATCCAAAGATAATCAGCACTATAAAGTATCATCTCTCTTTTCCGTTCTTTTAGTTCATATAATGAATGATCAACCACGACTAAATTTTAAAATGCTATTACTAAATTCATAAAAGTGAAGCTTGATTCCCATAAATCATGTCTCGTACATTAAGTGAATATTTTCACTTCTCACTATAATAATGTGATAAAATGGCGTACAATTTACCACATTCAATAAGTTGCCATTAAAATTCTGAAAGGTATATAAACCAATAGCGGTTGGAGAATGTGATTTTCAAGTTGCATTAAAATAACAAAAAAAATAAATAAATAAATAAATAAACAAAGAACCAAAAATATGAATAAGTAAACAATAATAGTATAAATAAATAAAATTGAATGGGTTACAAGTATAATTTGTCATCAAATAGAGCTTTATCATGCATAAAGCCCTCCAAAATTAGAATTCAATTGCCCAAACTTGCTGTCGTAAGTCAAAATAACTCCTTTGCTTACAAATTAAGGATACTTATAGCACTCTTGATCATTATGGAACTTCAGAGATTGCTTGTAAATAATTTTGCTTTAGTGTTCTAAACAAAGCTTTGGGAGTGTTGGCAACACTGCGGATTCAATTAAATCTCTTATCAAAATTATCTAACAATGCTCGCGCAGGTATACAATACATCTAGATGAACTTGATGCTACCTTGGCTAACTTTAATTAGATATTAAATATATCCAATCTAGTTGAAGGCACTCTAGTCAAAACAAAAACAAACTCGCTTGATATACTCAATGTAATTAATACCATCATAGTTGGATTAATGCAAAATTAAATTGGCTATCCTTATAATTACATCATTATTACAAATTAATGAATCAGATCCAGTAAACCAAATCGATTGACTACCCTAGCCAAGCTTAGACAAATTAATCAGAATTTGTCGAAGATTCTACATGATTCTCCTGCTCAAAAATTGAAATTTCATCCATCTTATAATATTACAATGTGCATATGCAAACAAAAAATATTAAAGCACTCTTTTTATATAAATAAATTTATTTCTAGAAATTTTAAGCACACGGAAATCATATACAAAAATAAGCCTAAACTACTCGCTGTAAGAATAAACATGAAGAAAAGGGCAAGACTGAAAGCAGGTTTAATATCCTGGAGTCTCGCCATTAAAAACCCTATTAACGTGGATGTAAAACTCAACAAATGAGAAATAACAATAAGAGAATTCGGATTTCATAAAATCAGCCAAAGACTAATAAACCAAGACATCAATCAATACTAATAACTTAAAATTAGGAAAGCATACGTTAATTATCTTAATAATAATTAGAAAAATGATTCAAACAGTCTGAAAAAGTTGCAACAAAACATGCCAGCATAATGACAATAATTATTCCAGTAACAAGTCACCAAATATCAAAACAAGCCTTCCTGTGCACAAAACTTGAGGATGGGCGAAGAATATGAAAAGGGAAGCATATTTATTGCAGCCATTCAGCTCTAAAGCAAGGATTGCGTGCAGCTAAAGAAGAAGAAGAAGGTGGCAAAAGCATTTTAAACCAAGAGAATAGTAAAAAATCTACAATTCAGTTGACATTGTTGAAATCCACGAGCAAGAATTCAAACAAATGTCAACACTAATTATTGGGCAAAAGAGAGCCCGATTGGTGAGATAACTGCAATCATAGTAAATGAAGTCTAATTGAGCACAATAAAATTCAAAAATTGTGTTCCCAGAGGCCGGCACTGTAAAAAGCATCAAACAATTATTACGGAAGATTGATGTTCGTTTCTTATGAAGATGAGTCCTTGGAAATCTTCTCAGCCTTGGCGATGACTTCATCAATTCCACCCACCATGTAAAACGACTGCTCGGGAAGATCATCGTATTTCCCGTCAAGAACACCCTGAAGACAAGAATGAACATTAATTAGTAACTGGGGAAAAAAACATTATCTATAAAATTACAGCATAGATCATCAGCTTTAGAAAAGGATATTCTTTGTCATTCTACTTTGTTTTAGTACTCCATAGTTGATCTTGGCCAACCTGAAGAAATGTTAGAAGACCGCAAACAAGATCTAGAGAACTCAATCTTAAAAGCACTTCTGTTACATGATGGAAACTGGACATCACCATTAATATTTAATTGAAAAGCATTTTCATAACATACTTTTATATAAACAAGTAGCAAATGAGTAAGAAAGTATCAACAATGGGAATGTCATAATTCATGAATAGAGAAATATACATTTGCAGGGTCTTTCCTAGAAGTTTATTTATCTTTCAAAAAATAAATAATAAATAAATTCAAAAAGAAAAACATGAATAAGGTGGAATTTAAGCTGAACATAGTAATTGCATTCCTAAGAAAACATTATTACAAATGAATGGGGATTAAATCTAAAGGTGATCAATCAGATCGCATAATATGACCATGATCTCGGTATCGGACCTGAAGATCAAGAAAATCATGTGCTTGTGTTCATTAAAATTTTAACAGTCTAATCTCCTCATAGAAATTGTTTATGACAGTGCCTCACATATCACAACATTGAGATCAAATAGGATATCATCGGAAGCCAGTAGGTTTGATCAAATCATCAATCCGATAGCATATGAGGGAGAAATGAAGGCCTAAAAAGTTAGACGCATTGGTTGTGAAAACAGCAAAAAACGGATGAGTAAGAATTTTTGCACTATGTTTGGATAAGCTTACTTTTTATTCATAAGCCAAGTTCTGGATAATTCCTACTGGGATTATGTGTAAAGATTGAACTAGTTTAGGTATTATAGATAAGGTTTATTCCTTCAATATAGTTTATTTTAAGCCTGGATTAGCTCAATCCCAAAAGTCTTTTTTTTATTTAGACTCTACTACTAGTAATTGTTGCTCTGCGTTGCAATAAACCAACAAACTCTAGTGCTGACGTAGCACTCCAAGAAGGAAAAACAACTAATTATTGTTTAAGAAAAGAAAATAAAGAAATAAAATAAAAGTTTTATGTACAGCAAGAAAAGAGCAAAATTAATAAGAGGATCTACAGATGACGTAGTATCAAAACATAGTTATTTGTAGCATGTTACAAATAAAAAAGAGATATATCAAGATAAAGAGACCCACTTATTATCTTGGAGAAGCATTAAGCCAAAAGAAGGGGAAGAAAGCCAATTAATGACTAAAAATGATTCTACAATAAATCTAACAATCCAAGTTGGCTAGAGACGAAGCAAAATAGATGGCAACCATCATGGAAAGAATGAAGATGCAAACTACTCTAGTGGACCAAGCTGTGTTTCTCATGGTTACATGAATGAAGATGAGATGATAGCTAGCACCAATGAAGGATGTGGCCATTTAAAGCAGTAGTCAAAGTGGAAATTCCTATATTTGATGAGACTGTAGATTCCAAGAAGCTCAATGAAATAATCAACCACTTCGAGACATCACCATATATGACTATAAGGATCATGGTAAATCTGTATTATCTAACTGAAGTTAAGACAACATGCCCTACGTAGTAAAATGACCATCTGAAGATGAATAATTATCAAAAGAAGAATTAAGGAACATTGATAGTTGATACAGCCAGAACTCCACGCTGGGGGTGCAAAGGAACAATGGTAGAAGTGGGCAGCATATGTGACAACACCAAGAGTAATTGTTGCAGTAATGCATCACGGAGTTTTTAAAGACATGGTATACCATTGGATGAGCAAACTGAGAAGTATAGTTCAATGATTTATTCGTAAATTAGATATGAGCTCTACTTATTTTAAATTACAATTGTAATCAAGCATGAGTGATGGCAATAGACATAGAGCACAATAATGCAGAAAAAATCATGCACCAAGTGCTTCCAAGGATCAATTTCTCAAAGAACAAAATGAAGTTCGAAAGGAGAGGTATTGCTAAAAATCTTGCCACCAAACTCGAAGGAACTTATCCGATCATTGACAAAACATCTTCACACCAAAGGAAAAGGCTAGAATGTGCACCCTAAATACTCCCTGAAAATAATAAAATAAGATAATAAGGAAAAAAAAATAATATAAGAAAGGTGATTGCAAATGAGACAACACTATGCTTAGTTCTATAGACAATAACACATCCTAGCCAAGGGAAATAACTAAAAAGGAATGTCATTCAATTTAAGAACTCATGTAGAAGTATTTTCTAGAAATTAGATCAAAAAGAGGTGATTAATGTCATCATTGACAATGATAACTAGAACACAATTCTCAATCTAATGCAAAGTTGAATCAAACACCATGACTTATCTAAGCTTTTATAAGTCCACATAGATTTAGAGAGCAGAAATTGATTACCATTGTCAATTGAAGTTTCCAATCTCAATAGACTAAATCGATTGGATATTTTGCAAGATAGTTCCACTTAACACCTATCAAGGTATCTTTGGTAGTCCCTACCTACGTGACACATGCAGTGTTGTATCACCGTCCCTACCAATGCTAGAAGATAAAAGAAGGGAAGTGCTTCCTAAAGAAATATGGAATACTAGTAACAAATGACATGACAGCATAAAAAATAGATAAAACTACAAATGCTACACCAAAAATATTTACTTTTTCTTATCAAGCATGCCATGAAGTAAGAAAGCAGTATTGCTCTTTCCACATTTATGAGATGTGCAACAAGAAGTAATAAGAAAGTATGCAAGGCTGTTGTTTAAGAAGGTGCAAGGGTCACCACCAAAATGACTCAAAATAAAACAACAAAATGTAGCCTTTATATAGCAAAAGCAAACTAAAATAAGAAGGGGGACTATAGATCAACATATCTATGAAGCAGAAATTTGGGTCTATAGATCAAATTATTAAGGAAGAAGTGGGTACTAGAAACCAAAATCATAATGACAAATGGAAAGAAAGTAAATCTTGAAAGTGGACATTGAGGCCAAACATTAAAAAGAATGGATCCGAATAACTATATCCTCATATATGTATATTCTTATAATGCTAGATTCATGTACTTAAAGCAATCAATTCAAAATAGATAAAATTGTGAAAGAAGAAGTGGGTACTAGAAACCAATAGCATAATCACAAATGGAAAGAAAGTAAATCTTGAAAGTGGACATTACATTAAGGCCAACCATTAAGAAGAATGGATCCAAATAATTATATTCTCATTCGTTTAATATTCTTATAAATGATAGATTCATATATTTAAAGCAATCAATTAAAGATAACATTTTATCTTATAGTATTAATGATTGAAATTCTTTTTTTTCCCAATCACTAGGACAAAATGGAGAAAAAAAGATTCATGTAGGCGACCCCACTTAGTCGGACAAAGGTTTGTTGTTGTTTTTGTTGTTTTCACAATCACTAAAATTGCAAATCATATAAAAAATCATTTTACTACTTAGGAACATTCAATTTTTTTTATACCAATTTTACCCTCTTTTATCTTCTGAATATTTTCTCATTTTCCATCTTTTTAATTATTTCAATACATCTGTATATAAGGAGACCTCAAAAGTATGAATATCAAAAATAAGGATTACATAATGTTGCATGATGACAAACTCCAAAGCATATCAGGCTTTCACATGCCACCATTAAATAAAATAATAAAGAACAGCATAACCAAAGTACCCGCTTAACTTGGCACAACAAATTTAGCAACAAGTGAGCATAAATCCAAATGGTAGAATTCTAACATGCTGCTTACAACCATTATACCTAGACTCAAACAAAGGAAAAAATTTTGATACTTTACCGCAAGGTAGATTAAGCAAACAAAACAGATTTGTGCTTTAACAATGAGTAATTAAACAACAAAGTGAATTACTCCATCCAAAGCAATTCAAATACCAGATTCCTTTAACTAGTTGTTTTAGAGGTGTCTATTTCGCTCACTCTTGAATCCAGAACAATACGAACAAAAAAATTTTCTTAAAAAGATCCCAAATTTATTAAATTTTCAGACAAATAATAAAGAAAGAATAAACACTGGCAAATAAAGAAAGACTCAACTTACAAGGTATCGTGCTTTAAAGCACGGCTACAAAATGATCAATCCATGAAAAAAAGCATAATCACAATCTAATTTACTTCTCACCTGACTCTTTCAAGTCTACATACTTTCCAGGTGCACCCGTAAAAACTTCAGCAACATGGAAAGGCTGGCTCAGGAAACGTTGGATCTTACGAGCACGAGCAACAGTAAGCTTGTCATCTTCACTGAGCTCATCCATTCCAAGAATGGCAATGATATCTTGAAGGTTCTTGTAGTTTTGAAGAACCTTCTGAACACCACGAGCAGTATTGTAGTGCTCTTCTCCTAAGACATGGGGAGAAAGCATTCTAGATGTGGAATCCAGAGGATCAACAGCAGGATAGATACCAAGTTCAGAGATCTAGTCATAGAAAAAAACAAGAAGTTGTTGAGATATGCCTAACTACTAAAAAAGAAAATTGCATCAGTTCTTTTAGGCAAGAAAAATGCTTATAGAGGACAAAAGGAGAACCTGTCTTGACAACACAGTTGTGGCATCAAGATGTGCAAAAGTCGTTGCTGGCGCTGGATCTGTCAAATCATCAGCAGGAACATGCAAAAGCCGTGGCGGGCGCGGGGTCGGTCAAGCCATCAGCAGGAACATAAATAGCCTGCACAGAAGTAATGGAGCCCTTCTTTGTTGTTGTAATGCGCTCTTGTAATCCTCCAAGGTCAGTAGCTAGGGTGGGTTGGTAGCCAACAGCAGATGGAATACGCCCAAGCAAAGCAGACACCTCAGAATTTGCCTGAAGAAAAATGTATAAGTATGCAAATATCAAAATGCCAACTGTTAAAAAAAAAAATTTGTTGGTCTTCTGCCTACTTGAGTGAACCGGAAAATATTATCAATGAAGAGTAGCACATCTTGCCCTTCAGCATCACGGAAGTACTCAGCCACAGTAAGTCCAGTCAGCCCAACACGAGCACGAGCACCTGGTGGCTCATTCATTTGCCCATACACAAGAGCACACTTGCTCTCATCCTAGCATGCAAAAAGTGCAAAAGAAGTCAGACAACCAAAAGACGGAAATTAAAACACATAAAAATGAACTAAAATGCTAACTTGTTTATCTCCAAGCTTAATCACACCACTCTCAATCATTTCGCGGTACAAGTCATTGCCTTCACGAGTCCGTTCTCCAACACCGGCAAAGACGGAAAAGCCACCTGATGAATAAAACATCAATTGATTCTGTGAGCAGTGAAAATGAAAGTACAAAAAAAATGAAAAGTACTTTCTACTACGAACCATGAGCTTTAGCAACATTGTTAATGAGTTCCATAATAAGCACAGTTTTCCCCACACCAGCACCACCAAATAGACCAATCTTGCCACCCCGCTGATAAGGTGCAAGAAGATCAACCACCTAAAGAAGATAAACATCAATGAATGCAGCAATTTTAAGCAAGAAAATAACAAAGACTGCTAGAAAGAAACTAAGATTGCAATATATTCTTCAAATTTAGTGAGCTTTTGTCACAAAATGAAAATAGCCTCAAAATAACATTTGAGAAAAATAAAGGGTGGAAAACAATCAACTACCTTAATGCCAGTAACAAGAATTTGCTGCTCTGTTGCTTGTTCAACAAATGCAGGAGCCTCACGATGAATAGGAAGGAAGTGATTGGTCTCTGCAAAGAGATAACGAAATAAAATAAATAGCAAACATGACTAAACTTGGCCTTATGAACCTCAATCAAACTGAAATATAAAAAAAATTAAAAATAAAATAAACTCACTTATTTCTCCCCTTTCATCAATAGGCTCTCCAATAACATTCATGATGCGGCCAAGGGTAGACCTACCCACAGGTACCTGGAGTAGTTAGAAATAATCCAAAGTTAAATCATATTTCGTATATGATGCGCCATAAGAGAATAACCATAAGCGCTACAGAACATATTGAGCATAAATCTAAGAACTAAATTATCTAAGGTCAAGTGAAAAGCCAACAACATTATCCAATTGTTTCTATGAAATGATCATAAGTATATCCGAAAAAAAGATCTGAACAACAGGAAAATCTATACGGAAAATGGACATAAAGTACCCGCAGGGAACCTAAAATCGGGGCATCTTTCTGAATCGTCTTCCAATAAAAAAGTCCGAAATAGCAAAACTCAATCCACATACAGCCATAGATATTACGGATAAAAAAAAAAAAAAAATTCCGCACGCAATGCTGTAGAATCAACGATATAAAACATCGATAAAGGAAAAGTATTAAACTCAGATGACTAAATCCTGAAATATACGCATAAAAAGGCATATCAATGAGAGCAAGAGGGAGATAAAATTAAGTAAGAAAAATAAGACCTTCTAGTCAGATGAATAAATTATACCGTGATAGGTGATCCAGTGTTCAACACCTTCTGTCCACGAACAAGTCCTTCTGTCCCGTCCATGGCGATCGTCCTCACCATGTTCTCACCCAAGTGCTGCGCCACCTCTAGCACAAGGCGGATTGGGTTGTCAAGCACCTCGAGAGCGGTCAGGATCGGCGGTAGTCCATCATCAAATCGCACGTCAACGACGGCTCCTATCACCTGGCACACACGGCCGATAGCGCCGGCCCCAGTGAACTCATCTGTAACCTTTCCACTAAGACTAGCAGAAGATTTGGCAGTAGTTGGCGGGGAAGGCGCCGGCGCTGCAGCTGCAGTGGCATACTCGACGACGCGGGAGAGAAGGAAACCGGTTGGTGAAGGGCGGAAGATTGGAGATGGAGTGCGGGATCTGGGATTGGGGAAGCAAGGTTTGGGAGATGCAAACAGACGAGATGAGGCACGGAGTACGGAGGAGAGAATCCGGCGTGAAGCCATGGCAAGGAAAAGATAGGTTAAGCGGCTGATCGTCTAGGTTTAAAAAGGGTGAGGATGCGGCTACAATTGAGATCTGGAAGAAAGGCTTGGCTTTCGGGGCCGTTAAGATAGTAATGGGAAAATATTGGGCTGGCAATGTTTCATACGGGCTAGGACACCTATTCCCAAAAAATAGCATAGTTTCCTGTCATACCATCTAATATGAAGAATGATAATATCAGATTATTTTCTTACATAGAAATTAATATTGCATATCACTAATCTGAAAATAAAGTAAATGGTGTTTTAAATCCATTCTAATTCTATTTATACATATGTTGAGAATAAATTTTATGCACAAAAATATATTGCGTAAATGAAAATTTTTTTTTCTCTAAAATTTGGATAAATCAAACCAGTCACTTGGAGTTTCTTGATAGAGGCTTCTACAACAACTATTGGCAAGGATTATTTCCTCTATTCATTTTATGAACATCCTTTACTCTCCCTTATCATTCCACATGGCTCATCTCAGTCACAATGCAAATTTCTTTAAAAATTTTTTGGTGTTTTTCCCAATTTTTATGGATGTGGTTGCTACAATATAATACATTATAATGCATAGTTCTTATTTTTGCTTTTTATAGTAATTGAAGTTTGTCAAAACCTCTTTAAAAGAACCTCCTGAAATATATAAATGATATCACCAAAGACATTTTTTATATAAACTCTAATTGCTAAGCAAGTATGTATTAATCATTAAATGGAACACAATCCTCTTCATCCTAAATTTCAATGTTATCACTCCTGTCAGTTTTATTTTTGGCAGTTACTTGATATGAAACCATAAATATTTAAGGATTTAATTGTTTAAATAATTAAACACAACATCAAAAGTAATATACTATCTCGAAGGATATAAATATCACTTTATGATTGATTCAATTACTTAAACTATGAAATTTTGAATATTTACAAGCTCCACAATTAAAATCAACAAATATTTTTGTTATCTATTACAAAGACTAGATAGGCTTAGATTAATCTAGAGTTCAAACTTTTTATAAAGGCAATATAGTTACATCTTAAGCAACAAAAGTTACTTTAAAAAACTTTTGATTCTGGTTGCATTCTTATCCTCAAGATTTTTTCTAAGTTCAGTTCCCAATATTGATCGTTAGGAATAAAGGGAAAGGCTCAAGAGTGAAACATTTTATTTATGGAACCCAAAAGAAGATAAGTAGGGGAAGTCAAAGATACTAAAAAACTCAGTAACATCACAACTATTATATTGTTCAATTATAATGATTTTGAAAAAGATTTATTTGATATTTTAGTAGACATTATATTAGAATTTCAAGGCTTATATCACATGATATATGGTTTTGAGAAAGCCTGGGAGGTGAGGATTTATGTAATAACTGGATGAACAACCAAGAAATTTTAAGATTAAAGGTGGAGTTCACTGAAAAAAGTTAAACAACATTAACATAATCTACAGGAATAGAAATTAGAGTAAACAAAATGCAATGTACTTATAACCCGTGCTTGAAAAATCTATCATCTAAACTACCTAATCATCATAAAGTTATGCATATGATGTCTCAATAGATGTAAGATAAGATAAATTGTTACTTATTAAGAAAAGTAGATCGTGCAATTTGATTGTAAAATTAAGCTACATAAGTATGAATGATATGCATAATATCATATAACTAATCTGAATATATTTTTGTAATTTAAATCTTAGCATTTAAAAGCTTACAACAATCATGTATTTTTTTATTTGGTTACGTTAACTCTTAGTGTCAGAGGAACATAGCAAGGTGTTTATAATTATGCAAGTCATTGATAATGAACGTTCAAAAGAAGTTTATAATGCCAAATAATATGCAAACACAAACACACTTTACAAGGTATTGGCTATCAAGGGACATGTCACCCCATTGCATGCAATGAGTGAGGACCTAAAGGCAAGGAATAGATGCAATATGAAATGCTTATGCCAAAAGTGATCATTTCATGGTTATTCCTAAATCGTAAAGAATTTTCTACTCATATTTATTTATTATCAACTTTATTATTTTATATGCATGATGTTCCTAAGGCGTGAATGCAACATTTTCTTTATTTTTTTTTATTTTGTTTGAGTTTTCCTTTAATTCTTGAAAATTTGTTTTAAGATTTTGTCAGATTTATCGAGCGCAAATAAAGCAACATGAAAAAAAGGGTGCCAACCCTAAACCCATGTCAGACTCATTGGTAGAGAATGTGAACTAAACATTGATGTTGGTTTAGTTGAGGTTCGTCCTGTTACTTTTATGTTTATCATACCTTGATTGGTTTGAATGTCAATAATCAACCAGTTATGGCGGACACCCTAACTCTGGAAATAGAAAATAAACTTATATTTACTATGACAGCTAAGGTTACTGTAGTAGCCCTGCAAAATAAATTTAGCACATCCTAAGCTTATTATAGTGACCAGAGGAAAATATGTTGAGATTTTCATACCTATTTTATACTATTTTTTTATGATATTGCACTTTAAGAAAATGTATTTTTGATGTTTTGTTGCAGGAATGATGAATTTGGGTCATTGGAGCAAAAAGATGCAAAAAGGAGCAAATTTGGAGTGAAAAGGACCAAAATGTGCAGAATTGAACTAGGGCACCGACGGCGCCATCGACCCCACCGATGACAAGATTTTCCTGAGACTCCATAATTAATTCATTAAGAAGGTCCGCTGACGGCGCCCTCGAGGCCACCGATGACGAACTAGGCAGTTATGCCCAATCAGGCTTTGGATAAGGCCAAATTTTGAAGGGATGCTTAGGCAACTCTTGGGAAAGCTCATCCACAACTTTAAAAGAATATTTTGGCCGAAAATTGAGAAAAGAAGAAGTGCTAGAGAGAGTTCCTGGAGGTTAGAAAGGTTTCAATAGTGTGTAAAAATTGTGAGGAATTCTTCGAGAGATTGTAAGAGTGGAGGGAAAGTGAGAGATTTCTTCCTCCTTGCTGCTTCGAAGAAGAATTCTG